GAGGGAGAGCACCCATAAAAGGCAACCAGCGGTCTTGTATTAGAATTAGAATTGTATTAGAATTGTATTAGAATTTTTGCCTTGTCCACAGAAGGAAGAAGGCAGGGCTCCTTCCCCGAAGGAAAGCAGAAGTAACCAGTAGCTGCAACATGGACTTGCTCTTTCTTTCTTTCTTTTTTTTTTTTTTTAAGACTTTATTTATTTGAGAGAGAGCAAGCACGAGCGGGGTTGGGGGCAGAGGGAGAGAGAGCGAGCATGGGGGGGTGGGGGCAGAGGGAGAGGGAGAAGCAGACTCTCTTGCTCAGCAGGGACCGGATGTGGGGCTCGATCCCAGATCCCTGGGATCATGACCTGAGCCAAAGGCAAGACACTTAACTGACTGAGCCACCCGGGCACCCCTGGACTTGCTCTCTCATTGACTGATCTACGGCAGGGCTGCTCAGCCTGGCCCAGTGCTGTGGGCCAGGGGAAGACACATCACACCCAGCTGCTGCCCGGTGGTCCTCAGCCCAGCAGACAGACACAGCCCGGTGTGGGAAGTGCGGGCCCCCGGGGGCACACAGACTCATGATTGGCTCAAGTCAGGGAGAAGGGTCACAAACACGTCACAGAGAAGATGACCTTTGGCGTGGGTCCCAAAGGATAGGCTCCAAATTCTGTTGCAAGTGGCAAATATCATCTAAATCGGGTTGGGCAGAAAAAGCATTTACTAGCACTAGCAACCTACCAGTCCCAGGGTAGGGCTGCTCCTAGGCACTCAAACATTGTCAGGAATGTGTCTGGAGCCATCTCTTGGCTCAGCCTTGCTCTGGTGGCTCCATCGTCAGGCAAGCTCTCCACTCGTAGCAAGGCTGCGACGGCCACCAACAGCCGTGGGTGTTCATTCTGCCAGGTTAGCATAGGAGGTGGGAAAAAAGTGTCTTTCCCAGTCAGCCGAAAATCTCAGAGCCGACGCACGGTGGACCAACTTGAATGAAGTGCTCTTCCCTGACTCAATCACTGTAGTTAGAGAGAAGAGCATATTCTGACATGTGCCTGCCAGGCCTGGGTCCTGTGTCTAAGCCCTGACCCCACCCCCAGGACAGAAGCGGCATGAACCACACCTGACTCGTGGTCCAAGAGCGGGGAGCCGATGGCTTCCCAAAAGATCAGCAGAGTGTTGCCTCCAGAAGAAAGGGAATGAGTGGTACAGGCCGCCTCCACAGAACTCCTCAGCAGATGGCTAAGAGTTTTCCCAAGTGGGAGAGGGGTTGTGAGCAGAAGGAATGGCACGTGAAGGCTTTACAGGCAAGAACAAGTTTAATTTGGGGTCAAGCTGCCTGCAGAGGCGTTTAGATTCAGCCTCTGGGGCAGAAGTTCCTGATGAATGTGCGACTATCTTGGGCTTGAACGCAGTCCTGGGCGCCCACCTAGATTTGACACTCCCCCCGCCCAACAAATTACAGAAAAATCAAAGCACCACCATAATTTGTCCGCTCTATCAGTAGCAACAGTGGCTTCAAGGAGCCGACAGATAAGATAAGCATTGTGCCGGGCGCAATGACCAGCTCTACGACTGCAGCAACACTCCTTCCTCTGACCAATTGGAATATGTGCCAGAGTGACGTCACAGACAACCCCCAGGGACCCTCGGACCCTTGTCCTTAGAGAGGTAATCAAGAACGGTTTGCACCCCCAGCTCACATCCTGCAGGAAGCCCAGGGCCCTCCGGGACATACCTGCCCATCGCAGGGGGCTAGTTCAGGCTCTGGAAGAGAGCCTCCCCCCGACTCTCCATTCCTTTGTTCCACCGGGATTTCCTTAATGCCTATTGGGTGCCAGGCTCTCTGCCAGGCACTTGGGATACAGCAAGAGCAAAACCCACCAAATCGTTGCTTTTATGGAGCTTATGTTCTAGAGGAGAAGGGAGGAAAATAAACAAAGCAGAGAAGGGGGAGAGGGAGAGGTGGGTGTGCATTTTACAGTTCCCAAGGCGCTGGCCAGGGAAGGTTTCCTTGAGGGGGCCACGTGGGCAGAGACGTGAAGGAGGTGGGGGGTGACCATGAGAGCCAGCAGAGGCAACAGCGAGTGCCGAGTGTGGAGGTTTGTCAGAGGACGAGGAAGGAGAATCCGCGGAGCCAGAGAAGGGTGAGCTGGGTGGGGGGGAGAAGAGATGATATAGGCACACATACATCTTAACCTCCTTCAGATGCTCTTGACTTTCCCAGCTCCGAGATGACAGAGGCGAGCAAGCTGACACCTCTTGGATGCCTTCCTGCGAGGGCATCTGTGCGAGCAGTATCCCTAAAGGACCGAGGCAGTGAGGGGCATATACCTCACAGCAAGGCGCACAACCCACTCTCAGCAGCCCTACAGCATGTCACCACTTGGGAACATCCCACTCACTTTTCTGGGGCGGTCCGGCCTCCTGCCTTGGTTCCCAGCACGCTCTCCTCCCCAAGACCCTCCTTGGAGTCCTCTCCTATTTCTCCACACAGCTTTCCCCTAATCTCTGCCTCTGCACAGTTTTTTTGTCTTGTTTTGTTTTAAAGTAGGCTCTATGTTGGGCGCCTGGGTGGCTCAGTCAGTTAAGCGTCTGCCTTCGGCTCAGGTCGTGATCCCCGGGGTCCAGGGATCGAGCCCCGCATCAGGCTCCCTGCTCAGCGGGAAGCCTGCTTCTTCCTCTGCTGCTCCCCCTGCTTGTGCTCTCTCTCTGTCAAATAAATAAATAAAATCTTTTAAAAAATAATAAAAATAAAAAAATAAAGTAGACTCCATTTCCAGTATGGACCCCAATGCGGGGCTTGAATTCACGACCCTGAGATCATCAAGACCTGAGCTGAGTTCAAGAGTCAGACACAGCTGACTGCTTCTCCTTCTCCCTCTGCCACTACCCCCCACTCCTGCCCTCTGGCTCTCTCTGGCTCTCTGTCAAATAAATAAATAAAATCTTTTTTTTTTTTTAAACGTCCCTTGGGTCTAGGTCTCCTCCTTGCCAATCTCCTTGCTTATTATCCAGCTTAGCTGTGATGTTTCCTTCCTCCCTCCCTTTCTTTCCTTCCTTCCTTTCTTCCTCTTTTTCTTTTGCTTTTCTTCTTTTAAAGTATGTTTTCTGTCATCAGAATCCGCAAACAGTCTCTGGGTGAGGCCCTGCCGCAAAGCTCCGCCATCCTGGATGAGGGAAGAGCAGGCACTTCTGTTTCCCAGAGGGCCAGAATTCACACGGGGATGGCTTCTGCTGCTGGCCTGTGGTAACACGCTGTGACCACGCCAGGGTCACAGTGAGTCACAGCAGGCAAGGTACCTTTGCTCCCCTTCCTTTCCCAGAGCAGGTCCAGGGGTGTGTGAAGTAGATCCGGAAGAGGTGTGTTATTCACGTAAGATCAAAACCCAGGACTGACTGATATATTTTTTTTCTTAATGTCTATTTCTGCCATCCTGCCCCAACCTCTGTCCCCCTCCATGCCTATTCCAGAAGTCTGAGGATATAGCACAGTGACCATAGCTCTCTGCTCCTTCCAGGATTTGAATGCCAGTTCCCCACTCAGCAGCTGTGTGTCTCTGGACAAATAACTTAACCTCTCTGAGCTTCACCTGTAAAATGGGGATAGTTGTAAAATACCACCTATAAGGTTGTTAAGAGGATTAAATGAGATGATCCATATGAAGGCAGTTAGCGCTATGCCTGGCAGGTAGTAGTCCCTGAATAAATGTTAGCCGTTCTCATAAAACATTTATGTAGTGCCTCCTACACCAGATGCTTGGCCTTTGAGGAGCTCTAGCGTGGGACACAGACCTGTAAATGAAAGATTACAGTACAATAGGTAGGAACTGTCATGGAAATAATATGGACACAGTACTGTGCTGGCAGAGAGGGAGTGATGGTTGGTCAAAAAAGGGGAGACATTTGAGTTTGAGATCCGGAAAGGTATTCCAGAAGCGTATTCCAGAAAGAAGAAACACAGGGTTCCTGTAGAAGCAGCTAAGAGGAGACTGTGGTCCCATTTCCTGCTGTGAGCTAAACTGGGAATTTTAACTTCTGGAGACTGTTAAAAGTTGTGCACAGGGTAGCAACAGACTTAGAGTTGTAATTTAGAAAGCACGCACGGGCAGATGTGTGCGATGCACTACAGAGCGCCAGTGAGCAAGCTGTTCACAGGAATACAGCTACAGGTATGCAATACAGAGACAGAGGTCACGGTAGGAGGGGGATTGAGGGTACCCGGGGCCACAACCAGGGTTTAGAAGAATCTGGACAAATGGCCCGAGAGACTCACTGGAGAGAGCTCCATACTTCTACCTGGCTTAGCACATTCGGCTCCATCTTGAATGCTCTTCCCCCACTTGCCATTCAACATTCAGCTCAAGCCACCTCCCCTGGTAAGCCACTTCATACTGAACCCCTTTACAGACTGGGGGCCCTGCTCTGTGTTCCTAGAGCCCCTTCTTGGGTCCCTATCGTAGAGCTTGGCATTCCCTTGTCATTGTTTCCTGGTTCCTCCCACTGGTCTGTGAATTCTGTGCGGCCAGGGCCCAGCCTTGATCACCTTTGCACCCACAGGGCAAATGTGGTGTCAATAACTATTTGCTGAATGAATCAACGCAAACAAAAAACTAGCCAGTCTACCGAGAAGCTGGAGGAACCGCCAGAAAAAGACTGACGTCTCCAGGAGCTCAGGCCCTGAGGCCACATCCATCTTTTGTCCTCCAGTTGTGTCTCGGAGTCGCTGCCTAGAAATCCTGGGCCTTCCAGGAATTTGAAGCCCGGTGCAGCAAAGCGGCCATGTGGCCAAAAGCGCAAATACAAACCTCGGCCGGCCATCTGCTGGCTGAGCCCCTACCCCCTGCCCCAGCCTTCGCCTCTCCATGCCCTGCAGTTCCGATCCCTGCCAGGCGGCGACGCACGTGAGAACGCGTGCGCAGTGCGCGCTCGAGCCGTCCTTTGCCCTTCTCCCAATGGCGGGTTGTGGTCCCCTTCCCGGCATCCTCGCGGGGGAAAGGTGCGCGTCATTTCCGGTGGGGAAGGCCCGCGGCCGCCGCCGCCATTTCGGGCACTGCTGTGAAGCTGAGACCGGAGCCGGTCCGCTGGGCGGCGGGCGCCGGGGCAGGAGGGGCGCGCGCGGCGGCGGCGGCCCAGCGTGTAGGCGCGGAGGCGGCCATGGCGGGCAACTTCGACTCGGAGGAGCGGAGTAGCTGGTACTGGGGGCGGTTGAGCCGGCAGGAGGCGGTGGCGCTGTTGCAGGGCCAGCGGCACGGGGTGTTTCTGGTGCGGGACTCGAGCACCAGCCCCGGGGACTATGTGCTCAGCGTCTCCGAGAACTCGCGCGTCTCCCACTACATCATCAACAGCAGCGGCCCGCGCCCGTCTGTGCCACCGTCGCCCGCCCAGCCTCCGCCCGGTGAGGACGGACGGGACGGGAGGCCCCGGGCGGGGTGAGGGCCGCGGAACTCCCCAGCCTGGCCGGCTGCTCTTCGAGAGCTGACCTCCACGAGGGACGTGGGCGGAGGGCTGGAGTGACCACGGCAGGGGGTAGCCTGGTGCCTGGGCTCGTTCCCACCACGAGCGGGTTTGTGTGTGGGGGGAGGAGGAGCCGCTGACCCAGGCCTCTGGGTGTGACTTGGGAGGACAGCCCAGGGGAAGGGGAACTGCTTCGGCCCCAGGGTGGGGCTAGCGCCCGGACCAGGCACAAGGGCAGGGCCGGGCAACGTGGGGACAAAGAGCTGAGGGGGATGTTGGCACTGCGGGGGCATCACTTGGCAGCGGTTCCCAGAATGAATTCGATAATCCTACAAGTGGCTTTTTAGGCGAAACGTTTCCTGTAGTGTTAGAGAGCCGGATTTGGTTTGGAGAGCTATTCTCCCCTGCTGGCCTTTGGTAGGAAGTCACCACATACTAGCCCGGAGGGATGGAGACACCCTCAGGAAACCGGTCAGCTTTTTCCTTTCTTGGGCATTTTTCCAAAATACTTTTACTGTCCTCTTCCCCCGCAGAGGACGAAGGTGGTGAGTTAAGTGCCTTGGTGTTAGAGGTAAGCCCTCTGTGATCAGCCCGGAACAAGTTGATGTCCAGCTGACGGTGTCCAAGAGATCTTAACGTCCAGAGACTGTTTTCTACAATTAGGGGGTTCTAGTTTTCAAGGTATTCTGTGGAGGACAGATTCCCCCCCCCCCCCGGAAATAAGCCAATGGAAACAGTCCCTTCCTTGAAAGTGAATGGAACTTCCAATTTCATTGGACTTAAACATTGTCAGTGCTGTATGTCAGGGCCTCTTCTTGGTCAGTAAGTTAGGGCTGTGACCTAGGTCTTACCAAGGATCGCTGAGATGTGACCGTCTTCCTTATGCCTTCAGAGTTTGGAGAATGTTAAGATTTATGCACTTAGTACCTGAGATTTGTGAAGTACAGAGTAATTCTGAGGTGGTTAGCATCTTACCATCACCTGTGTAACAGCACCAAGAGTCTTAGTCTTTCTTATTGTTCCCAAGTTGAAGCAGTTTTCTTCTGACCAGCTGAGGCTAGCTCCAGGCCAGTCTCTTACCCTTTTGGGATAGTCCTAATTTAGATTTATTCGCTCTGGCCAGAATTGGGGAGATGGGATAGTCTCTTTGTTGCTAACACATACCAATTACAAAAAAAAAAAAAAAAAGTATGGGATCTTTAATCCTCAAATTATCCTAGGTCTTCTCAGTATGGTTGGTGAGACAAGAATATCGATGTAACAGGGGCACCTGGGTGGCTCAGTCGTTAAGCGTCTGCCTTCGGCTCAGGTCGATCCCAGAGTCCTGGGATCAAGCCCCACATCGGGCTCCCTGCTCGGCGGGAAGCCTGCTTCTCCCTCTCCCACTCCCCCTGCTTGTGTTCTCTCTCTCGCTGTGTCTCTATCAAATAAATAAAAAAATCTTAAAAAAAAAAAAAGAATATCGATGTAACATAATTTTGCCCTAAACCAGATATATTCTACTTTTTACCACCTTCTTGGTATCTAGGGTTTTGCATTACAATGCAGTAATATGATGGCAAACAGTCACTGAAGCTCAATTTTTGATCTTTTTTTCCACCCCAGTTTTCAGCCTTTTGTGTATGCATTTTGTAAAATTTGGAGATGGCAGCAGTCAGGTTTGCTAGCTTGAGCTTTCTCCACACCTTGGTGTTAATGACTTTGTATCTCTGCACTTACCTTGATATTGAACTCCACCTTTTCTTAACAGATACGAGTTCAGATCCTTGGCCCAAAAGAGAAGGTGAAGATTGCCAAAGTTTGTGGATGGGGTGTGGAAAGTTCACGGGCATTGTGGTAATTCTTGTTTCTGGTAATGTGCCCAATTTTCCACATAGAGCAATTGATTAAGTTGTTGTCTTTATAATAAAGATTACTTAATCTTTGTTCTCCCCCTCCCCCATCAAGCTCTTTTTCTTTTGAAACTACACGGAGAAATTTCTTGAATTTTAGAAAAGCATGTAGAATATTAATAGCTAACATTTATTGATTGGTTATTCTATGCCAAGTACTTTGCTGAGTACTTTCGGTGCCTTATCTGATTTTCTGCCTATAAAAATCTGGTGAGAAGTACTATGATCTCTTTTTATTAAAACATTTTCTTTTTATAGGTGTGGAAACTGAGAGTCAGAGATTCAGTAACTTGCCCAAGGTCACAAAGCTGGTAAATGACTGAGCCAGATTTTGAACCTCGGAATTCTGACCAGAGAGCTGACACTCTTACGCTGTACTTCTTTCTCTTTTCCTTTTGAGATCTGAACAGTGCACATAGAAGATTCAACACTTTTGTCTCTGTCATGGGGCCCTAGGTTCTGTTTAAAGATCAAAAGGAAAGGATGAAAAGAAGAAAGTAGCTTTTTTTTTTTTTTTAAAGATTTATTTATTTGACAGAGACACAGCGAGAGCAGGAACACAAGCAGGGGGAGTGGGAGAGGGAGAAGCAGGTCTCCCGCTAAGCAGGGAGCCCGATGTGGGACTCGATCCCAGGACCCTGGGATCATGACCCGAGCCGAAGGCAGGCGCTTAACGACTGAGCCACCCAGGCGCCCAAGAAGAAACTAGCTTTAGTATTTGGACAATACATGTCTGTTATCTAAAAGTCAATGATGAGGCTTTTAAAATTATTTGGCAAATTGAACATGAAAAATGAACTTTTTGCTTAGGACTATATAGCATATTTTGTGGACATAATACGTGGGTAGAATTTGTATGGAATGGCTTAAAGTTTTTAGAGGAAGATGGATGAGGTATTTTTAACCTTTTCTAGCGAATCTTTTTTTTTTTTAAAGATTTTATTTATTTATTTGACAGAGAGACATAGCGAGAGAGGGAACACAAGCAGGGGGAGTGGGAGAGAGAGAAGCAGGCTCCCCGCAGAGCAGGGAGCCTGATGCGGGGCTCGATCCCAGGACCCTGGGATCATGACCTAAGCCGAAGGCAGACGCTTAACAACTGAGCCACCCAGGCGCCCCTCTGGTGAATCTATTTTTAACTTAGATGTTCAGCTTCCACAGGCTGCCATAGTCTGGGAGCACCCTGGTTGTGCCTGAGGGCCATAAGGCAGGGCTTGGTCAAGTCTACTGGCCGTACCCTGTCAGGTTGGACTTCAGGGTAGACCTCTTGGGAAGGCTTTGCAATCACTGATTTCACATGTTTCTTCGAACAATGAGGTATTACTAGACCTTGGCCAGTAGACAATTGACAAAACTGAACAAGTGAGACCTGGGAGAGTAATAAGTCTGAGCTCTGGAGCTTAGGTTTGAATCATTCTTCCTGGCCACTTACTACTTATATAACTTTGGGCATGTTCTTTAACTTGCCTCTGCCTCAGTTTCCCCATCTATAAAAGAGAGGAAATAGTAATACTGACCTCCTAGGGTTGTTGTGAAGATTCAATGAGTTTTAGTGTATTAAATGCTTAGGAATGGGGCATACAGTAAGTACTTAATAAGCATTAGCTATATTAGTTTTATTAGCTATATTAGTTTTATGAACATAACTATGAGGTTGGGAGAGCAGGAGTTGAAGCAAAATGGAAAAGTGTTCTCAGCATTGAGAGGCTCACAGGCAGGCATGGTGTGGGTTGGTGAGCCCCGGTAAGATGGCGTGTGTAAGGGAGTAAGTGCGGGAATGGAGGGTGATGGAGTGCGTCAAGAAGTGCGAAAGGACCTTGGATCCGAGACATGGAAATATGATGGTACCTGTTGTTACCTGCTTAACCCAGAGCCTTCTACCCATTGTTCTAGTGGGTGAGGGAATCATAAAAGCTTGCCTCATTTGAGGGCGGGGAGGGGCAGAAGTTAGGGTGGTTATTGTTTGCGCTGCCTCTTCAAAGTGGTGCTGGACCAAGTCACTCTCTAGAGATCTTGTGGGACTGTTTGTTATCTACTGCTGCCTTTTTGTACCTCCGCCATCTGTGTTTCATTTGTTTACCTCATCTTTGCAGTTTTCAAACCTGGTCTTCATGTTTTACTAATCAGTTACAAAGTACCCCTCCATCCAGTGGTTCTGGAGAAGTTCTTCAGTGAGTTACTTACAGGTTTACAACCAAAAAAAGGATGCCATGGTAAAAGGAAGTAGGTTTATTTATTGCTGGACTTCTCAGCCTTTTACTATGCTCATGTGAAATTATGATCCTCCCAAGAGAGGTAGGTATTTGACCACAAGACATTTTGATAAGTGTCTTGAGATTCTGTAGAATCTTCTCTGGGAAAGAGTATAGTGGACTTTGGATTTGGGGATTAATTGAAAATTTCTAAAGGAATTGAGATGTTTGGGCAGGGTATTAAGCTGAACTTGCTTTTTATTAAGCACCTGTAATGTACCAGCTGCTTTTAGGAACTTTATTACGTAGGTGTTTGGCCCCGTGAGAAGTTAAATAACAATTTGTATAGCTAGTAAATGGCAGAACCAGAGTTCATTAAACCCAGTCAGTCTGAATCTGCATAGTACCATGCTGATACCTACCATTTTTAGAAAGTTCTATTTGCTTAGGAGGCCAGATATTTGATACTTCTTTAGGAGACCTTCTCAGATGGAAGTCAGCAGCCTTTTTAGCCCTTTGTATTGGACAGGTGGTGGGGTGTGTTTAAGCAGTTTCTATAAATACCATAGGCAGAAGAGGAGGAAAGGAGTGGGAATTAAGGAAAGAGGAAGGGAAAACGGAAGTGCTTTGAGATCAAGGAGAGGCTGATGATGGAGCTGCTGAAGTGGTACCCATGCCAGCAGTGACCTGGCCTGTTTTAGCCAAACAGGAGCTCTTAGGTATTTTTTTGTTTTTTGTTTTTTTAAGATTTTATTTATTTATTTGACAGAGACACAACGGGAAAGGGAACACAAGCAGGGGGAGTGGGAAAGGGAGAAGCAGGCTTCCCGCTGAGCAGGGTGCCCCACGCGGGGCTCGATCCCAGGACCCCGGGATCATGACCTGAGCTGAAGGCAGATGCCCAACGACTGAGCCACCCAGGCGCCCTTCTTAGGTGTTCTTCATAAAACCTTCAGGGAATGGTGTAAAAATTGATGTAACCCGAGGGCTAAAATGCTAAGAAGTAATGAGTTGAGCGTATACAGAAACCAAAAGAATATGTAACTGCTTGCATTGATTTTGATTTCTGAATGTGTTTGTTCATAACTCCATGTTCAGAATACCAGCACAGGTTTATGTAGAACAAGTCAGTGAGGTTTTCCAAGTCCCAGCAGTGAGAACCCAGTCATTGGTTCTTTTCTCTAGACTGACTGACTATATCTCCTTCCTTTCCCGCCCTTCTATTTCCTGCTCTTGGCTCTTTGTGGTTGGAAGGAGATGAAGTAGGGAAAAGGAGCCGGAACACATAGCTATGATGAGGTTTGGGCTTATCTGAGACTTATGTTCTTTTCTCCTCCCTTCCCTTCTGGAGTTTGGGTCAGTGAAGCTTGATGGTCCATATATTTGACTGCTTTAGCAGTACACAAAAATAGGCACTCCTCTGGTGGAATTATTATAGTGTTGATAGAATAGAAAAAATTTATAGGTAAAGAATATCAGCGGGGTGCCTGGCTGACTCAGTGGGTAGAGCATACAACTCTTGATCTTGAGGTTGTGAGTTCGAGTCCCACGTTGGGTGTAGAGATTACTTAAATTTTTTTTTTTTTTTAAGAATATCAAAGATTTTCCTCGGTGTTCTGCTTGTATTTCTGCGACTGCTGGGATTGCCAAGCCAAGCCAAAAAAAAGAGAAATCATTGTGGGTCCAGTTCACACCATGCAGCATTTGAGCAAGAAATGAATTGAACCAACTTCCTACCTTTATGTTATGGCAGAGGAGCTGTCATTTTTTTCTTTTCATAATTTTCATGGTGATCTTTCTAAGGATATTCGCCTTGTGATCTTATTTGTTCTTCTAAACTCTGTCTCCTCCCCCCACCGCCCCCAAAAAACAAACACAAAACACATTTTATTTGAGCTAGTACAGTAATGGAGGAACCCTAACAATGGATGACAGGGAGTGGTTACCTTCCTTTTTAGAGTAAAAAGAGTGCCTTGGAAATAAATGTTCAGGGATGGTCAGAGCTGTTCCTTCATGGTGATTTTGTTGTATCTAAGAATACAATTTGTTGTTGCTACTTTTTTTTGTAAGAATACATCTCCAGTTGAAAGTGAAAGCCAGCGGGGAAATAATGTCTTCCTAAGACCTACTGCTTTGTTCCTTGCTCACCAACCACACTGTGTATGCCTTTATATCCCCAGCTCTGCTGTGAACTTCTTAAAACTGGGAACAGACTTTCATTTAACTTCTTTCCCTCACTTCAGAATTTTGTTCATTAAGAATAATATCTAACATTTACTGAGTACCGTCTGCCAACCACTGTCCCCAAAAGGCAAGTAGTGAAAACCATTTTGGCCGTTGCACCTTGGCATGTAGTTGGGTAAATTCTAGCAAGGGACCTTTCCCCCCTAGATGTCATTAGGACCATTTTCTAAGCCATTTTGTACTCTGCTGGTGTGAGGGTCATCCCTACCACTCTGCCCTGGAGGCTTTTGTGACCAGGCAGTGCTAAGTAGGTCTCTTTGGAGCTCACATTGACCCAGTCCTTAGCATAGTTCAGCAGTCCTAAAGGATCACTGAATTAACGTAGTGGTAATAGGCAGAATGACCGTGTATCTCATTGCCTACCCGACTTGAACGGGAACAATCCCCCTTCAGTGATCGTTTGAGTGGAGAGAAACTCCAGAATATAGAACCACCATGCTCTGACATATTCATAACCAAAATTCTCTCTCCAGTTCAGCACTTGGAACTACTGGGGTTGTGTCCTGCAGGTACCTGATGAGAATTTGCTGTAGATGTATAGTCCTGGGTCTGGGCATCTGTTTCAGCATTTTGAGTTGGAGAGCCAGCCTGCATTACTGAGTGTGGGCTATTAACTTGTTTTAGCTTACAGCCGTGAATTCCACAGATGGACTTTTGCAATATAAAAAATGTGCAACTGTCCTTTACATTGTGTCTTGGTGTCTCGTCATGCATTCATTTGTGAAAAGAGAAGGCACTCATCAGTACTCATTCTGTATTGAGGACTTCTGGTTAACTTCCAAAGTTTATCTTTTCACTTCTCCCCACCGATGAATTTTAAATGTACTTTTTCTGGTCATTCTGGAAGAAGTAATTTTTTTTTTTTTTAAGATTTTATCCATTCATAAAAAAAAGATTTTATCCATTCAACTGTCAGAGAGAGAGAGAACAATTAGGGAGAGTGGCAGGCAGAGGGAGAGGGAGAAGCAGGCTCCCCGCTGAGAAGGGAGCCCGATTTGGGACTCGATCCCAGGACCCTGGGACCATGACCTGAGCTGAAGGCAGATACTTAACAGACTGAGCCACCCAGGTGTCCTGGAAGAAGTGATTTCTAACACTGAACAAAATAATTGGGTCTCATTTCTTTTAGAGTGCAAATTAGACATCTGTGCTACCACAATAATCCTATTTCACCACATTGATCACTGTGGCTTTTAAATATTATTTATTTGAGAGAGAGAGCAAGCAGGGTGGGGAGCAGAGAAAGAGGGAGAGAATCTCAAGCTGACTCTCCACTGAGCTTGGAGCCCGACATGGAGCTCAATCCCACAACCCTGAGATCATGACCTGAGCCAAAACCAAGAGTTGGACGCTTAACTGACTGAGCCACCAGGTGCCCCTGTCACTGTGCCTTTTAGATGGTGGACCATTGTTGCTGGAGTGAAGAGCATAAATTGACCATTTTCCCTTAACAGAGGACTTGAACAGGTAAGCTTCCCAAAAGAAGCACAAATAGTAAACTTGGAAAACATCTTAAAGAGAGATCTCATTTCTCGGGGTGCCTGGGTGGCTCAGTCGTTAAGCGTCTGCCTTCGGCCCAGGTCATGATCCCCAGGGTCCTGGGATCGAGCCCTGCATCAGGCTCCCTGCTCGGCGGGAAGCCTGCCTCTCCCTCTCCCAATTATCCTGCTTGTGTTCTCTCTTTGGCTGTCTCTCTCTGTCAAATAAATAAAATCTTTAAAAAAAATAGAGATATCATTTCTCATTAAATTGTCAGTGAGGGGCACCTGGGTGGCTCAGATGGTTAAGCGTCTGCCTTCGGCTCAGGACATGATCCCAGGGTCCTGGGATCAAGTCCCTCAACAGGCTCCCTGCTCAGCGGGGAGCATGCATCTCCCTCTCCTCCCTGGTCGTGCTCTCTGTCGCTCTCTCTGTCTCTCTCAAATGCATATATAAAATCTTAAATAGTCTATGATATTTATTTAGATTGTATGTATGTATTAGCATGAGCAGGGGGAGAGGGAGAGGGAGAAGCAGACTCCCCGCTGAGCAGGGAGCCTAGCGCAGGGCTGGATCCCAGGACCCTGGGATCATGAACTGAGTGAGCCACCTAGGTGCCCCAAATTGTCGATTTTTTAAAGATTTTATTTGTCAGAGCGAGCACAAGCATGGGGAGCAGCAGGCAGAGGGAGAAGCAGGTTGTCATCAGAGGTTAAGAATTTTATTTTTCTTTTTATTCATTTTTTTAAGGTTTTAAGTAATTTCTACGCCCAACAGGGGGCTGGAACTCCCAATCCCGAGATCAAGAGTTGCATGCTCTGCCAACTGAGCCAGCCAGGTGCTCCCAGAGGTTGAGAATTTTAACACTTTATTTTTTCAAGCATCCTTATTTACCTTTTTTCATGACCTGAGGGAACAATATGGTTTACATGTTTTATTTCAGTGAAGACCTTAGGAATTGATTGTTAAGCAGTTAGCTTCTTGGTTTGTCTTTTTCGTCTCCTTGGTTCTTTTGCCTAATTAAGGTTTTTTGTTTGTTTTGGTGGCTGTCAGAAATGAAATTGAGAATAGCAATCATAGATTTAAAAAGATAGTCTTGGGGTGCCTGGCTGGCTTAGTTGGTAGAGCATGGGACTCTTGATCTCAGGGTTGTGAGTTCAAGCCCCACATTGGCCATAGAGCTCACTTAAAAGAAACAAAACCTTTTTCTTCTTAGGAATTGTACATTCTAGATGTGAAGAGAAGGAATGTATGAGCCTGGTGTAGATAGATAGCAAGTTCTTCCCACCTCTTGGAAAAGCTGCTGGGACCTATGAAAAAGGAGAGCTTGCTACATTTCCTGAGGTTGAAAAGTAGATTGCAACAAAACCTTGAACCTTAATGCTGCTCTGTAAATGCAGTAGCACAGAACATTTTGGGAGAATGAACAAAAAGTCTCCATGTTGCTTTGTCTTTGATCCAAGTATGAAAGCATGCCCTGATTGGCCTGGTCTCTTGTTCCGTCTCTGCTGCAGGTGTGATGGGCATCTTTCTAGGGTATGTTTTAACTACAGAGTATGTTTTCAGTTTACCGTAGAAGAGGGATTATCTTCTCTAGAATTTTCTTCTGATTAAGTGTTGGCTAAATGTGTTTCGGAAATGCTTAAAATCTGCATTTCATCTTCTTTGTAATACATTTTTAAATAATAGCCTGCTCTGTTTTTTTCCAGGGGTGAGCCCCTCCAGACTCCGAATAGGAGATCAAGAGTTTGATTCATTGCCTGCTTTACTGGAATTCTACAAAATACATTATTTGGACACTACAACGTTGATAGAACCAGTTTCCAGATCCAGGCAGGGTAGTGGAGTGATTCTCAGGCAGGAGGAGGCAGAGTATGTGCGAGCCCTCTTTGACTTTAATGGGAATGATGAAGAAGATCTTCCCTTTAAGAAAGGAGACATCCTGAGAATCCGGGATAAGCCTGAAGAGCAGTGGTGGAATGCGGAGGACAGCGAAGGCAAGAGGGGGATGATTCCAGTCCCTTACGTCGAGAAGTATAGACCTGCCTCCGCCTCAGTATCGGCTCTGATTGGAGGTAACCAGGAGGGTTCCCAGCCACAGCCACTGGGTGGGCCGGAGCCCGGGCCCTATGCCCACCCCAGCGTCAACACTCCGCTCCCTAACCTCCAGAATGGGCCCATTTATGCCAGGGTAATCCAGAAGCGAGTCCCTAATGCCTACGACAAGACAGCCTTGGCTTTGGAGGTACATAATGTGCAAAATGTAGAAAGCAGAGATCTGCTACAGGGTCTCCCTTTCAGACCTCTTAGAGCTTTGTAGGAATGCTGAATACAAACACCAGCGTTGTGATGTTGTAGATGTTGAAGCATTAAGTACTGATTTTGGCATTTAATGTTAGGTTTTCTCTTTTTTGTAGAAAACCTATTTTGGAATGAGTAAGCTTAAAATTGTATAACTGAATGTTCTGATTGATCTACTAAACATACTTTGACTTCTTTAATAACACCACCTGAATTCACAGGAATTAACCTAAAATATTTTTTTCTCATCTACATTCTATTCTGATTCTTTCTTTCTGCTTCTCATTTTCTAAAATAAGGTGGGCTCTGTCAAAGCACTTAAATGGAATTTTCCCATAAAAACAAAATGTTTTTACTTTAGGGGGCATGGGGTTTCTTTTTTTTTTTTTTAATTTTTTTTTTTTTTTTTTTTGACAGAGACACAGTGAAAGAGGAAACATAGGCAGGGGGAGTGGGAAAGGGAGAAGCAGGCTTCCTGCTGGGCAGGGAGCCCGATGTGGGACTCGATCCCAGGACCCTGGGACCATGACCTGAGCCGAAGGCAGACGCTTAACGACTGAGCCACCCAGGTGCCCGGGGGCATGGGGTTTCTTACAACGGACTGCTTGTGTTCATAAAGTCAGAATTCAGGAGGGAAAGTAAAGCATGGTACAGGTTAGAAGAGATCCATACCCAAAACTATACACCCCCAAGGAAGAGCAGGTTTCCTCGGTTTTTGTTTGGTGCATTTTATAGGCAGGAAGCCAGTTCTTCCTGAGGAGTAAATTCCTGCCATTTACTGGTAGTTATCCTTGGTAGCCCATCTCCTCTGGGCAGCCACCATGTTGTATCTATTCCTTTATTCCTCTCTTTAGCATTCACAGCTTTGTCTCTTACCTTCTCCCTCCCTCCCTTTCTAAGTTATACAGAGCTAGTGGTTCGGCGTAAAAGCTTGTATGCTATCCCATCTTTCAGAAGCTACTGATAGAACTTGAATGTAAGTAAGTAGCTAACTTTCATAAGTACAGGCTGAAGTTATGTGAGCACAGACTAGCAGAGAAAGGGCAAAAGTGTATTTTTATAAACTGAAACTCTAAATGCTGTTTCCTTTGGGTCTTGTTCATACACTGGGAGTAAGAGCTGCCTTCTGCCTGAGTAGAAGTGTTAGCCTACAGAATAAACTAGGATTTATTTGAACCAATCTCTGATATTACTGGATTTGACATTTTTCTTTTAAATTCTGGATAGTGGATGCATAGAGGGAGAGCTGAGTCTTAGAGATTTGACTGAAAAATGTATTTTTATTTATTTATTTTTAAGATTTTATTTATCTGACAGAGCACAAGCAGGGGGAGCGGCAGGCAGAGGCAGAGGGAGAAGCAGGCTCCTCACTGAGCAGGGAGCCCGATGCGGGGCTCTATCCCAGAACCCTGGGATCGTGACTGGAGCCGAAGGCAGATGCTTCACTGCCTGAGCCACCCAGGCGCACTGAAAAATGTATTTATAAAGTGCTTATTTTTTGAGATCATGTTGTGACTTAAAAGTATCATGTCCCTGCTTTGAGGAGAAATGAAATGTACAGGTCACACCATTTTTTTCCCCCACTTTGAGTTTGGAGGATAAGGAAAACAAGTTTCTCGCCTCATGTTTTCATTTAAGTTCAGATGATGTCAACATCCAACATGGTGCTGTGCACATGGCAGTTGTGACTCCTGACATTTATTGCAGACCTTGTTAGGACTCGGCTGGAGTATGAAAAATAGCAGTCATGAAACAAGCCAGCTAACAGCCAGGAAAGAATAGTTATCACGTTAATTTTGTTTCCATTTGCATTCCCTCCCTCCCTTCCTTATTTCCTTTTTATTTACTTATTTATTTTAAAGATTTTATTTATTTGTCAGAGAGAGAGAGAGAGAGTTGGATGCATAACCGATGTAGCTACCCAGGCACCCCTCCTTTTTTTTAAATTTATTTTTCTAAGTAGGCTCAACGTGGGGCTTGAACTCATGATCCTGAGATCAAGACCTGAGCTGAGATCAAGAGTTGGACACAACCAACTGAGACACCCAGGTGCTCCTCTTTTTTTTTTTTTAAGATTTTATTTATTTAATTTTATTTTTTATTAAAGATTTTATTTATTTGAGAGAGATAGCATGAGCAGGGGGAGGGGCAGAGGGAGAGAGACAAGCAGACTCTCTGTTGAGCGGGGAGCCCGACTCGGGGCTTGATCCCAGGACTCTGAGATCATGACCTCAGGCACCCCAGAGATTTTATTTTTAACTGATGACTCCATCCAGTGCGGGGCTTGAATTCAACCCAATCCCAAGACCAAGAGTTACATGCTCTACCAACTGAGCCAGCCAGGTGCCCCTGCATTTTCTTTCTTTCTTTTTTTCTTTTCTTTTCTTTTTTCTTTTCTTTTCTTTTCTTTTCTTTTCTTTTCTTCTTTTCTTTTCCTTTCTTTTCTTTTTTCTTTTCTTTCTTTTTCTTTCGACAGAGAGAGAGGCAGAGGGAAAAGCAGGCTCCCCGCGGACCAAGGAGCCCGATGTCGGACTCGATCCCAGGACCCTGGGATCATGACCTGAGCCAAAGGCAGATGCTTAACCGACTAAGCCACCCAGCTGCCCTGCATTTTCTTTCTTAAAGAGAATTGTTTTTTAATGATGCCTGCCTTGATTAGAGGCTTTAGTGCTAAGAATGGTTGAGCTACCCTCCCTGCTGTGAAACATAAATCTTGTGAAATAAATAAGTAGAAAATAGTTTCAGTAAGTTTTGTTTTTTGGTTAGATACTGGTTTTGAGCCACATATATTGATTGATTGCTGAAGATGGCCTCTTTCAGGTTAGAACATAATAACCTAATGTACTTAAAAACATGGTGTCAGTTTAGCATCATAGAATTTTAGAGCTGGAAAGGACCTTAGATATCTTTATTTATTATTTAAAAGAACTGATGTTTAGACAGATTGGATTGTTCAGACTGTTTGGAGGTAGAGAGAGAATGAACCCAGATCTACTCTGGTACCTTTTCTACCATACCCAATTCAATCTGTGTTTCTTCCTGTTTTATAACAGTGCTGTTGCCCTCCTCAGTGTGGGTTTTGTGTAGTCTCACTGACAGCATACCCTCAGTTGTACTGTATGTAAGGACAGTTGTGCTGTCAGTACAGTAGCTAGTTGTCTACAGTTCTACTTTCCCATCTCTGGGTTTTTAGAAGAGCTGATGCTTTGTCCCTGTTGAGGTGAGGCTGGGAGATAAGAGTAGGAGGCTCTGGTGTTCTGACCTTAGCATTCTCGTTAAACAAAACATTCATTGCTATATATGACCCACTATAAATCAAGATCTGTAGACTAGTTAGGTACATTTTAGTGGAATTTTACACTTAACTTGAAATCGATAAATTAGAATCATTGCATTTTACAATTGGGCAGGGCCCTAGAGATACTGTGTTAGACCAGCAGTCTTCAGACTGCTGCTCGGTGTCCCTAGGGAGAGGGGGAAGCTGACGGTGCAAGGCTCTGGGTTCCTTCTCTTGCTTCAACCAAAGCAGCTTTGTTTTTAACTGTATTACATATTCGGATCTCTCTAAGATTTTCTTTTTTTTTTTTTTAAGGTTTTATTTATTTATTTGACAGAGACAGCGAGAGCAGGAACACAAGCAGGGGGAGTGGGAGAGGGAGAACCAGGCTTCCAGCTGAGCAGGGAGCCCGATGGGGGACTCAATCCCAGGACCCTGGGATCATGACCAGTGCCGAAGGCAGACGCTTAATGACTGAGCCACCTAGGCGCGCCTCTCTAAGATTTTCTTTGAGAAAAGGATTTCTGTACTTAAATAAATCTGAAAAACGGGTTTCAAGAACCACCTGCCCTCACCTTAAAGATGGAATTTTGCTGCATTGGTACATTTGCTATAACCACAGTTCCCCAGTAGAAAATAATTATTAGATATTTCCTGTTTTCCTACCCACCAGATTTCTGTAGTAGGGATGAAGGCTGTACAAAGTAGGGACTGATTCCAGCTAATCAAAGTAGGGGTATTCCTCTGCCCACTATAGTTCTATGGGTCAGTCAGTCATATCCGGGGGAGTATAACTAAATCAGATACCATCTGTTCCATTCCGGAGCCCCCAAGATTTTAAACATGCAGATACGCTGAATGTTTTGAAGAAGAGATAACTGGAATACTATTTTCTGGAATTGTAGCAATGGATTTCTGTATTGTTCATTGAGACAGGTATCTGCCTTTCCTCTCCTTTCCATCCTTCTTGGACATTACCTTTATTTCAGCTCATAGAATCTCAATTGGAAAGGACTTCAGAAGTAAACTGATCTAGACATTAAAGGCAGGCCTTCTGGTATCTTCACAGATGATTTCTAAGCATTTATTTGGATATCTCTACTTTTGGAGAACTTGCTGTCAACACAGGAGTATAGTCCAGAGGTTCCAAACTTTCTTGGTTCATAACACCTTTAGTGTCTGAGTTTTTATATTTCACCGTGTCCCAGGCCAAAAGAAATAGTTAACAGTTGCATCGATTAGATAGATAGGTTCAGACAAATTAAATATTTATATCCTAATAACTTAGTACCCACTTGAAAAAAATAAACATAACGGAAAGGAAACAATATTTTAATTTTAAATAACTGTAATTACTGTTAAGTAATAAGACATGTACATCTGTTAGACACCATACAGTTTTTCAAACCTTGGGATTATAATGAACGCTGCTACCCTCATTTCTTGTTACACACTAATTTCATGTGGTACTTGTTTTTTGTCTTAGCAACTGCCAAAACCCAGCTTTGCAAAGAGATGACATCTTTGAAAGGAATTTAGTGCAATCTCATGTAGAAATTGTCAGTTGCCTTGAGCTAGTAGTTCATATGGCATAACATATGTCAAGTATTGCTGTTTCCCTCAAAATTTTAAGTATTTCATGGCATCTTCTGAATTTGCTGCAATGC